TGTTTGGCAAGCCCAGGCTGGATTCAAACCCTCCAGCTCTGGTGTATGTGGCTGGCGCCTTAGCCGCTTGAACTACAGGCGTGGAGCCAGGTTAACCTTTTGACTGTGAACAATGCCAATAGCCGTTCAAACAAGAGATTCGTTTAGTGCAAATGATACCTGTATCATTGCTCATTTTGCAAACAAAAACTTGACAACACACATTACTGTTATGTTATCTGACTTGATCATACATTTCTTCTCAATATTTTTCACAGTTATGCCTAAAATAATTTGTACAAATACTAGATTTTTGGGGGGAGTATATATACATAAATATGGAGGATGTACAATATATTCAAAGAGTCATCAATTAATTTTTTTGTCTGATAGGTGTGATCCTGCCTTTTACCCTCCCTCTGTATATGCATGAATGTATTCATGATCTATGTGTATTTGACTTAATAAAATAAATAAATAAATAGTAAATACATTTTTTGTTTGCATATGACTTTTTAAAAAATATAAAATATTGAAACTGAAACCAACTTGAGTGAATTATTTTGATTAGTAAGAAACCAAAGAACACCATGTATTATAAAGGTTGTTGTGGGTGCTGCATGCCACTCCATAGTCAAAGGCTTAAAAACAGAAGTATTCATAATCTAAAAATTTAAAATTCAAAATGCTCCAGTGAACATTTCCTCTTAGTGTCATGTCAGTGCTCAAAAAGTCTTACATTTTAGAGAATTTCAGATTTCATATTTTCAGTTTAGGGATATTCAATCTGTATTACACAAAGAAAATAAAGAGTAACATACATGAAACAAAACAACAAAGCAATGAGTATTATTTGACACGAATTATGTCTACAACATTATAGACGTAAGTATTACATCTGATATCTGTCGTGTGGTTCAAATAGGAGGGCAGTACTATTTCAAAGAGAAAACTTCCTAAGTTTTAGACCTTTAGCAGCTTCAAAAGTTTCTCTAACATTTATGTTGGAGAGCTCATGGAAAGCTTTGTAGAGAAAGTAGGACTACAAGAAAATCCCATCCAAAGGAAAAGATTTGAGTGGAAAAAAGGAGAAGGAGGGGATCTAAGATAGGCTTAATGTGACTGCAAGGGGACAGTCTTTTCAATATCCTGTAGGTAACTTATCTGCCAGATGCAAATGTCCCACCATATTTGAAGTCAAAATTACAATTTCACAACAGAAGGTAAGCTCATTTATGCCATGATGGAACACATTAACTTTTCATCATAGAGGTAGGAATTTATATCTGGACTAATAAAAGTTGTAAATGAAATTTTATAAATTTAAGATTTACTATAAATTCACATACAATGCCAATTATGTTTACTACTTAAGATTTATTCCTGGCTTGGCGCCTATGGTTCAAGTGGCTAAGGCGCCAGCCATGTACACCCAAGGTGGCGGGTTCAAATCCAGCCCGGGCCCGCCAAACAACAATGACGGCTGCAACCAAAAAATAGCCGGGCGCTGTGGCGGGCACCTGTGGTCCCAGCTACTTGGGAGGCAGAGGCAGGAGACTCTCTTGAGCCCAGGAGTTGGAGGTTGCTGTGAGCTGAGATGCCACAGCACTCTACCCGGGGGGACAGCTTGAGGCTCCTGTCTCAAAAAAAAAAAAAAAAAAAAGATTTATTCCTACCATGATCATTTCAAAGCATCACACAGAAGCTTACCTCAGCAGTTTTCTGAGTTGCTGTAAGTCTAAAACACTCTTTTTCTAAAACATCAAGCTTTTCAAGTTTTGCATGCAGCTTCATCTGACCTTGTTCTTTTTCCCTTTGAAGCTGGGCCTGGAAAGGATTAAAAAAAAAAAAAAAAAACCCTGAATTTGGCAAGTGATGTCAATGAATCAAGAATAATACACTTTCTGTGAATTCAAAACACAATATAAATCTGTAATAAAAAACATGTACATATTTTAGGTGCTTCCAAGCTGAAAACAAGAAAATGAATTATTTTTAAGAAGCAAATGTAATGTGCCAAAAAAACGTGCTATACATATTAGCATCAATGGGACAAATTCTTCTATGCATCTTCATATAACAGTTCTACTAAGAAAAACATCACTGGCAAACCTGTATTAAACAAACAGCAATATTTACAAGGTGACCAAACCTACTCATTGGCTTACTCCCTCTCTAACATAGGAAAGCAGCTATCAGAGCAGCTTAAGGAAAGCATGGAGAAGAGGAAAGTTATATGCATGTGTCTGCACACCTATATGTTGTTTTCTTTTTAACTTAATTTTGATTAAATCATAGCTATATATTTATGGGGTACATTGTAATGATTTGATATACAATGTGGAATGTTTAAATCAAACTAATTAACATAACCATCACCTCACTTACTTATTTTTGTGGTATGACATTTGTAATATACTCTTAGTTGTTTTGAAATGTACCCTTGCATCGTGCACATTACATAATATCCCGCCAAATACCCTCCCTCCACTCGTCCTCCCCCATTCCCTCCTGTCCACTCCCCTTTTCTTTCTGGACTATCTTTGTATTTTACGATTCATATGAATGTGTAAGTGTTTATATATTGGTTTCATAATAGTATTGTGTTCATTGGATACTTTTTCCCCCCATTCTAGACATACTAAGAAGAATATGTTCCAGCTCCATCCAGGTAAATATAAAAGATGTTAACTCTTCTTTTTATGGCTGCATAGTATTCCATGGTGTACATCACATACCATAATTGTTTATCCATTCATGGATTGATGTGCATTTAGGCTTCCATGACTTGGCTATTGTGAACTGGGCTGCAATAAACATTCTGGTGCAAATGTCTTTGTGGTAAAATGATTTTTGTTCATCTGGGTAAATACCTAGTAATGACAGTACAGGATCAAACAGTAGGTCAACTTTTAGTTCTTTGAGAATTCTTCACACTTTCAAAATGGCTGTATTAGTTTGCAGTCCCACCAGCAGTGTAAAAGTGTTCCTTTCTCTCTATATCCACACTAACATCTGCAGCTTTGGGATTTTGTGATGTTGGCCAATCTTACTGGAGTTAGGTGATATCTCAAAGTGGTTCTGATTTGCATTTCTCTGATGATTAAAGATTATGAGCATTTTTTCATGTGTTTGTAAGCCATGTGCTTGTCATCTTCAGAGAAGTTTCTGCTCAAGTCTGTTGCTCACAAAGAAATGGGGTTGTTTGTTCTTTTCTTATTGATTACTTTGAGTTCTCCGTGGATTCTAGTTACCAGACCTTTGTCCGAAACATAACCTGCAAAAATCTTCTTCCATTCTGAAGGCTGTTTGCTTTACTTACAGTTCCCTGGACCCCCACCTTTCACCATTAATAAAAACTGATTCTCAGTGGATAAAAGATTTAAACTGAAGACATGAAACTATAAAAGTACTAGCAGAGATGGCAGGAAAAACACTTGATAATACTGGCCTCAGAAAATATTTTATAAGGAAGACCCCCTCCCCCCCATGGCAATTGAAGCAACACCAAAAATATATTTTGTTTTCTTATGGTATTTATTAACACATTAGTGAAAGATATTAATAATAGGGGCAAACTGTGGCCAAGAAGAATTCTCTGTACTACCTGTATAATCTTCTATAAACGTCTATGGCTCAAGAAGAAAAAGTCTATTAGTTAAAAATAAAAATACAACAAAACAAAATAAAAAACTCACTAATAAACAGAGTCTTAGTCTAATATTCAACTGAATTCTAAGAAGGAGAGGAGAAGGAGGTAGGACAGAATAATTGTTTGAAGGATAAAGACTAAAAATTTTCTAAATTCAGTGAAAAATACTGACAGATTTAAGAATCTCAAAAAGGCTGGGCCTGGTGACTCACACCTGTAATCTTAGCACTCAGAGAGGCCAAAGCAGGAGGATCACTTGAGCTTAGTAGTTTGACACCAGCCTGAACAAGAGTGAGACACTCTCTGTTAAAAATAGAAAAATAAGGCAGGCATCCAGGGCATCTATATTCCCAGCTACCTAGAAGCTGAGGCAGGAGGATTGCTTCAATTCAGGAAGGAATTTGAGGTTGCTGCGAGTTATGATGCCATGGCACTCTAGCCTGGGCAAGAGAGTGAGAGTCTATCTTAAAAAAAGAAAGAATCTCAAAAAGGTCAAGGCCAAGAAAATCACACTTAGGCACATCATTATCAAATTTTTGAAAACTCTTAAAAGCAGCCTGAGAAATGGTGACACATTATGCACAGATAAATAAAGATAAGAATTTTCACTGAAAACTATGGGATCTAGAAGACAAATGAAACAAAATCTTTAATGTGCTGAAAGAAAAAACTAGAATCTACTAGAATTCTACACATAGCCAAAATATCTTTCACAAATGACAATGAAATAAAGACTTTTCCAGATAAATAAATGCAAAGAGATTTTCCTTCAGAGACTGAAGAAAATAGATGGAAAACAAATCTACACTGAGAAATGAAATTACTGGAAGTGATAAAAATGTGGATAAATATACATTGTCTTTTTTATTTTTGAGATAGAGCCTCAAGCTATCCCCCTGGGTAGAGTGCCATGGCATCACAGCTCACAGCAACCTCCAACTCCTGGGCTCAAGTGAGTCTCCTGCCTC